GGGGGTGGGACTGGATGATCTTTAAGGTCCTTTCCAACCCAAACCATTCTGTGATTCTGTGCCAAGGAAGACAGTTCTGTCAGTTGCTGTCCGGGTTCCCAGCCCTTGGTGGTGGAGGGGAATCCTTGAATTCTGCTCCTGGGCCCCTCTGAACACACCAGCTCCCTGGCTCTGTGCGAGTGCTGAGCCCAGCCAGGTGCCCTGCAGAAGCCAAGGTCTTGCCAGTGCTTAAAAGCAACCTGGAGCTTCTTGGCGAGTAGAAACACTGCCAGCTGGCCACTGCAACCGCTTCTTGCTCTCCGAGGTTGTCCCTACAGCTTTGCACCCTCCTGCGGCCATCTCACCTCCCACAGAGCTGGAACCCCGTGCTGAGCAACTATTGATCCAGAAAGAGGGAGGCCTTTGTTCCTCCCTGGCCTGAAAATCCTCCTGCGCTGCCCTACGGGCGGGAGAGCCCAGGGATTACCATAAGAGCGCGACTTCGTGCATTAAAAGGGCTTCTTGGGTGACGGGGCTGGCCACGGGGCCGTGGTGCTTCAACCCCCAGAGGGAGACCTGTGCCTCTGTCTCCCAAAGGCCAGGCTCTTCCTCCTTGGCCGACCCCGGCTGACAGCGGTGCGTTGTTTCCAGGAACTCCTGCGCCCACCTTTGGGCAGAGCACGCCCATGCCGGGAGCAGTGGGGAGCGGCAGCAGCAGTCTTTCCTTCGGGACCCCCAGCACTGCCGCCTCAGGCTTCGGAGCCGTCGAAGCATGTCCTTCGGTAAGGAAGGAGTCAGTGCTTTGACCTGGGGGAGCTGATGGGTCGTGTTGTCCCCTCGGGCTGGGGACAGCAGAAGGGCCAGGTTGTGCTCTGGGAGCTGGCTTGGGGCGGTACCTCCCAGGCTCCGGGCGAAACTTCCATTCCCCCCGGGATGGGGGTTACGCCCCCCCTCTGCCCCCCCCCACGGACTGAGTGAGGCTGCAGAGCCCTGAGCCACCTTTCTGCTTCCAGGTTCCTCCACCCCTGCCTTCTCCATCGGGGCAGGGTCCAAGACAGGCGCTCGCCAGCGGCTGCAGGCACGGAGACA